GACGTCTTACGACCTTTTTGCAACAGTTGTGAAAACGTCGTTATTATGTCCTTGTGTTACATATTGATTTATGCAGAAAAATAAGCTTAATAATTAATGTATTTTTCTTCTTTTTTAAAATTTTGTATTCCTTGTATTTTTCTGAAGTTTAAATATTTTATCATTTCCTGAAAACCAGAAGATAATAAATTTTTTTTCTCTTAAGAATAAACATGCATAATTAATTAGTTTTAATTGTTTTCAGTACTTTAAACTATATTTTTTAAATAACTTAAATTCCAAGTCATGATTATTTAAGATTTCATAAAATTTTCCCCTTAATTCTTTAGTATGTAAGTGCGAATAATTATGAAAGTGGTTATTATAAATATATAACATTAATAGAGGGTTTTAAGTAAATAAAACTCAATCAGACATAAATAAAAGTAAAGATATATATGTGGGTAAAAAAATTAAAAAAAAAAAAAGAAAGAAAGAAGAGCTTTTCTGATTATAACAGCATTATCGCATTTATTTCTGTTAAATCTCAGAGACACTGAAAATTGCCCTCGTCAAGAAACTGTTCTTAAGGTAGCATAATCAGTATTTAACTTGAACTCAAGTACAAATTTATTCGCGTTTTATAGTAAAAAATATAAACATTAACTTCTATATCTCCAAGCTATGCAAATGAAACACTAACAACATACATGACAGCACTACTTAAAGAGAAAACATGAACTAGCAGTGTTTGAAAGTGTAAATAAGCAGAAGGAAGGTAAAAGAACTAAAATTTCCAATTAATAAGAAATTATTCGTGTTTTCAGATAGTAAACAATTAAAAGTGCAATAATTATGGATTGCAGTATTTACTAATAATGCTGATGTTTATAACACCATTTCTTTCGATCCTATATTAATGTATTTACTTATTTTTAGTTTCTACATTTTAGAATAGTGGTAGATTACAATGATTATTTCATGCACTTTATATAATCAATAACTTTTGTTACTGTACAGAAATAATTTAAATAATATAGTGTACGATAGTAAGCTAAGTACGTTAAATAGCACACAATGAAACTTTTTGTTTTTATTTATTATGAATTTCTTTGTTATCACAAGCACATAAAAAGCAAACGAAGACTTAAATTTAATAAAAAATAAAACCTTTGGAAGTATAGATACCAAACGAAAAGTAATAAAACTGGATTCAGAAGTCAAACAACAAAAATCAGCTTTATATTTACCAAATTTGCAAAATGCATTTTGCGGTTTTGCAGCTGAAGATGGTGGTTCGGTAAAACCATCGAAACTAGTCCTGTGAAAATTTGGTAAATATAAAGCTGATTTTTTGTTGTTTGACTTCTGAATTAGTATTTATTCGGCGTGTTATTGTGTCTTAATTAATAAAACTGGAATTTGCAATCAATAAAAAATATTTAGTGTTTTTTAATACTACACAATTAAATATCACATAATTATAGATTACAATATTTAATAGTAATGATAATGTTTCCTTAACACTATTTTTTTGATCATACATTTCATACACTTTAAAATTATTAACCTCTTCTGTATACTATACAAAAGACAGCATAATATAGAATGGAATGTGCACTATTATTAATTTTAATGCATTCCTTGTATTTTTCTTATATGTTATTACATATATCTAATTCAACTTCAGCAGTCATATTAATCACATTCGGCGCAATACCAGTCCAATAATGGTACCAGTCCAATAATTTTTTTTTATTTATTTTTTTATTTTTTTATTTTGGAACTAATGAACATACCATAACAGCTTGAATTGTTGTTGCTTCTGCATTGATTGCATTTTCAGCAAAACCAGAAAATGCCTTAACGTTGTATGTTGTTTTTGGTTTTATATGAATTAATTCTGAGCACCAACACAATAATCGATTAATATGAATGATATAGCACTTAGGACGTTATAACCGAATCGGTAATCCGTGCATCCATATATTGCACTGCTGGGGCCACTGAAGATTGGAGAAAACCACCATATAATTTTAATCACTGGTAACACATAAAAAACCAAAATAGAACACTTATTTAACTGTATGGACTATTTTAGCAAGCTGCATCCGATATTTTCTTTAAAGGATGCATTCAAAATTCAAAATTTTGGTGTGTTCTTGTAGAGCAGATATTCACAAAGAAAACAAGCAGAAATTCGGCATTTCCACGATGATTTCACCTCAATTCAAAACAAACTGCCATCATTATATTGTTGTGCATCGTTTTCTTTCTGTATTGAGGCTCTCCAGTATTTAATTCCGACGGTGAATTGCACAACTGTGAAGAAAACATTCCTGAAAATAAGATGTATTCTGAAATTTAATTGCGCAGTTAACTAACGTGTTCGAATTTGGCAGCCAGCCAGCGCGCAAGCCTCGAGCTCAGATGTTGGTTTATATAATCATGCAGTAAATTATATACATGTGGTTGAACAGCATTTCAGTGCCAATGATTAAAAGTTACGGAGTGCCTATGGTTCAAAACCATGTACCTCCTCATCAGAATTAAATAAAAGCGAGCGGAATAGGAAAATTTAACTTAATAACCACTAGAGGGAGCCACATGGCTCGAGAAAGGTTGGGGATAGCAAGAATTTATAAAATTTAAGAGTACATAATTTTTTTTTAAGTTTTTAACAGCATTTCAGTGTAATTTTTCAGCGATTTATACGGTTGCTTAAAAACCTTTCGACGGTTCTTCTGATAACTTAATAGAATCGTTTTTAAATGGCCTAGAAGAATTATTTCAACTGAATAGAATTACGAACAATGTTCGCAAGATTATATTTACAAAAAATATATATCGGGCTCGCTAAAACATTTGTAATGTCAATGTCGCCAAATCCCGAATGTACCGTATACTAGGATTAAACCAAGCATTTTTTAATGCATTTACGTTAGATGGACAAAAACGTAAAAACATAAAAAACAGTTCATCAGAATTTTTATAGGTAATGAATTTCGTATTTTTGTTCACAATTTCTTTAATTTTGATGTCAACATTTATTAGTAATTTATCACGCACAATCATATCTTCGCGAAAACTTTACTTTTTACACTGTATGCTGTAAAATGTTTCATATTATGTCACCATATTAATTCAAATAAATTCGTCCTTGCTTAAAAAGTAATAAATAAAGTTATATTTCAGTAGTGAAATAATTGCTAACATGTAATTTGCATAGATTTTGGAAATATGATCTTTTAAAATATATAAAATGCATAACTTTTAAAATATATAAAATCTATAACTTACTTTATAGATTAGTTTCATTTTTAAATATTTTTGCTATAATATGAATGGTTTATGAATAAATATTTCAAGTATTATTTATTTAAAAAAATTAAACAATAATTTAGTACGTATTTTTAGTACTAATTAAATTTAATAAATCAATAGTATTTATATTAAATTTTTATTTCATTAGATTAATCTACCTTAGATTAATATATTTAGATGAAATAAAGTAATAAAACATGGTAAATTAATCTTATGCGGACTTCAGATTCTTTAAAGGGCAGATTTAGTCTCTTTTCATTCTAAAAGTAAAGCTGATGAACTATTAAAAAGGTGCTAAAACGACCACGTCTAAAAGCGGTCATATCAAATGACGTTTCAGCGACGTCGACAAATTGCAAAGATGCAACGGCAAATATTTTGCGTCTTCGCAACGTTGTAAAGACGTCGTAAACTACCAGCACCACTTTGCAATCTCTCGGACCAGTTTACAACGTCGTGTGCTACTTGGGACATAAATCATACTTCTTAACTTTTTTTTTTTTTTTGCTTAATCTGCGGAACTCTTTTCTTAATCTTTGCGAATTCAGCAAGCACACTGAAGTTGTGTATGTGTTGCCGATATATTATCCTAGAGTAATGCTATTCAGAGTATTAGCTATTAATTGCAGTAAGAGTATTTCAGAACGTATTGCGTTAACGTTTTTACAACATAAATTAATACCAAATTCCGCCATATTTTCTGGAACATCCTGTATTCGAAAGTCGTTAATCGGAAATTGACTCAAAAGTGGTTACTTGGAAATTGTTCATATACTGGTTAATAAAGCAAAATCAATAAAAAAAAATACGCAGTTCATCAAAAATATTGGAATATGCAATTAAGTGTACACGAAGCCGTATCAGTTTGTAACTGTTGGCTGTTATGCCATTTTCTTGCCATATATAGTTGTTCAAAGCTTTTCAGCAGTGCCACTGTAATTTTGAAGTACATTATTGAGGAGTTTTGAGTGTGCGTAATCTTGATGCAGAAAAGAAGCAATAAAATCTGTTCAAGTAACATCAATATAAAGTAATGTCTGTCAGTGGCAGCACTGAGAAAGACAGATATCGATGAAGATTCTGTGTATAATTTACTGAAAGGATTTCATTTTCCGAAAATTTTTCGGCAGATTCAAGAGTATTTTGCATCAGTATTGATATTCAGCCATTGTCAAATAAGTGACACGAGAACAAACCAAAAGCATAATTAGAATGCATAAGAAGGTTAACGTAAAGGATGTAGAAAAATTATAAAAACATCTTTGGAACCAACCCTTTCTACCGCTGTTGAAATAAAGTTGAGGACAAGTACCAATTTCAGTGATTCAAAATACTCAGCCACTAGTCTGGTAGGAGGCGAAGGAGATTCCACGATAGCTCGCCCGTATTTTCATTCCGCCGACTTTAACTAGAATCTTTACGCTATAAATCGAGATGGATAGACTTTTTTTATTTGTTTAAATCTCTGTGCCCACATCCTGATGTTAGAAAAACTTTTTTTTTTTTTTTTTTTTTTTCTTTCTTTCTGTAGAATCTAGTTGATGAAGAGGAATCTTTCAAATGTTTTCTTCGTATAATTCGTTTCGTTACTAGGATTAACCTTTTGTAAAATATGCAAAGCGTAAAAGAAATGGATGGTTTTTCCGCATTTAATTCATCCTATAGCCGTTTTATGTTTTGCTACGATTGTTTTAAGAGCGTAAAGGTAAATGATGGAGGTATACTTCAGTTTTTGTTTTTCTTTTAACAGATTCCAATGAGGTGACAAGAGTGCTTCACCATGATGTGGGCCAAGCCCATGGCATTCGGTGTAATGCTCTTTCTGTTCTGGATTGCAACAATACAAGCTACAGGTAAGAACTAGTGTTTGACTGTAACTTTAGGAATTTCATTTATTTCTAGCTCCCTTAGTATTACTAAAATAAAAAGCAAGGAAACTGTAAAATATTTTCAGTATCTTTTAATAATACATAATCAGCCAAAAGCTGTAATTTGATTTTTTATAGTGTTTCCTCTCTGTTTAAAGCATTATCAAATAAATATGTATATAAATCTTTCTGTGGATATTATCAAATAGAAAAGTTTCGATTTTAGGGACATATAACATAAAATTGAATTTTATGAAATATAAAATTTCAAAGTGTAGCATTTATAGCAATGTTAATTAGAAACCAATTCTGTATTAATATTTTTCTAGCTAAAAAAATTTCTCAGAAAGTTACATTCGTAAACTTAATATGCATCGTTTTCCAGCCATATTCATCTGGAGATTTCTAGAATTTCAATCTTGGAAAATTTTTTTCTTTCTTTTGAGGGTGGATTTTTGTATCATATGACTCTTTGGCTATAGTAACATCTTTTTGATTAAACATGTTTTTCTTGCTGAGTCCGTATAAATTTCAATTTTGTATATTTTTACTATAATGGCTTCCATAATATGAAGATAGGTTATTTGAGATGGTAAAATTTGTCTAAGGAAAGGGAAGGCTTCGGTGAAAGACTTTTTAAGGAAGACTGGCTCGTTTCATGTTACGCATAGGGAAAAGCAACCATGCAGCCAACTCTTTTGGACCTGATGGGGCCTGGAAAAAGAAGAATGGCATGCCTGATATTATCTAAATGGTGGTCTAATTTATTCACATTCTGGAATGGAACTCCCCTTCATGTCTGAAATATATTTTTCCTTATGTACCACAAAAATACCTCCCGATAGAGTGGCTAAAGCTGTTTGTTATTGTATAAACGAGCCGTAAGCCATTTTTCATATGGGCCCTTTTTTTTTGGCGCGGGGGGACGCATTTAAGTGTGCCTTTTTACGTGCACTTCTTGAAGTCGACGTTATACGCTTTTTGATTCTGCCTCACACAAAAATTTATAATAATGTTTTGTTTTTCCTGTGACCAGCACTGCTCAAAATCAAAATATTAACAAAACTTTCATCTGAATTACCCCTACTTAAATTATATAAGGCCCGTAACTGCAGTGAACACCGCCTGTCAAACATACTGTCGAGGATAGTTTTCATCACAGTAATTAATGAAACCAAAACAAACAACAGGTGCTTTCAGATTTTCTGCCCTTTCTTATCGACCTTGATTAATAGCTTGACTAAAATAATTGTCGCCATTGATCACCTTATTTGAATTTATGATTGACCAATATTTTAACAGATTTTGAAATATTTATTGAAACCGGAGGGGAGCTGAAAATTGAAATTCTTGCTAAAACGACGGGATGAAAGGAAAGCAATTGGTACCTGTATTACATTCAACTTGCAATTATCCAGAAACATTTAGCAAGCATCCTTTCCACGCAAAATGCGTGGTGTAATACATTGGAACGTTGGCTGACGAACGCCTTGGAGTAGGAACACATCTTTCAGTCGAAAAATGTCTTAAATGACGAATACTGTCTCTAGATACGACCAAATAAGTCGGCAACAAATGGTACTCCAAACTGTTGTTAATGCAAAGAGGAAATATCTTCTTAAGAAAACTGAAGCGAAGATATATTTAGTTCAGGGGTTCCCAACCCTGTGCCTGCGGGCACCATGGCGCCCGCCGTTGTGCGATCACGGTAAAAAATGTTTTTGTCTTCAATAAAATTCTACGCGAAAGTTTTTTCATTATTAATGAAATAGAAATTGCGTCCAACACATATATCAGCACAAAGCGAAATGCGACCGATCTCTCTCTCTCTATTTTTTTTTTATATATATATTTTTATGTGTGAATGTGTTATTAACTCTACCCAACTGTAAATTCACCTTGTAAAAGGGAATGGTGCACGCTGTCCAACAGATAGTATAGAATGTGGTCTTAGGAACAAAAAGGTTGGGGAAACTTGACATTGTTACTTGATCTGCGAAATAGGGTAAGGTGCAAAACTTCATAGAGCAGCCCCAGTATTAAGCCGTAATATAAATATTTACAATGAGGATGCCATCATGTCTTGCATTTGGACATTTAGGAACATTTTAAAACATAGAAAGTTGAGGGAATCACTGTGGATTAATTTTTAATGAGACATAGCATAGACTCAGCGATTCTAAAGTAGAAGCGAGGGATGTTAAAAGAAAAGAAAAAGTAAAGAATTCCAGAAAGACAGCAGCTACCTGATATTTTTATGGAATAGAAGTTTCCTTTTAAACAGTAACTTTTCGCACCTTTTCCTCCTTCATCATTTTCTACTTTCCGTTTACTTTCCTTCACAAAGATACAATAAAATTTAATTCAAGTTTTCCTTTTTATTTATTTATTTATTATTATGTTAAATATTACGTGAATGCAAATATTATGTTTTAGGTTTAATGAATTCCTTTGGTTTCGCATTACGAAGTTATATACAAAGTATTCTTTCCTAAGTATTCATCTGGATTCCAGAAACGGATAAAATAATTTATATTAACTCCTGTGGGAACAATTTTTCCGGTTTACAAATATTTTGGACGACTTCAGGAACGAATTGAATTCGTACATTCCAAAGCGTACGCAACTTCCCCAAATCACGGAGTCTCAAGTCACGGATGTCATAAAGATTGTGGAATTGAAACATTTTCGAGGTATCTTTTTTTAGCCCAAAAGGGCATAAGCTGGAATGGGGTCTCCAACGGGTCTCGAAACTGGATTTGGCGGCGTATCACTTTGAATGTCTGATTCAGATACTTTTCAGATTTTTGCCACAGAATATTATCGCCGTGTGGTACTTTCAAAGAAATTAAATAATGAAGAATTTACATGAACGTATGCATGTTTCTCGCACTGAGAAAAAATGACAGTACCTAGGGCAGTCAAATTTTGAATAATGTAGTCCTCCACTCAAACATGTGCTCCTGGAAGCCCGAATTTTGAATTTCAAATTTTATATTTCATATTTTATAAAACTAATACATTTTTTACAAACTCGAGATTTGAAAGCGAGCAGTGGCAACACTGTATGGATTAAAACTATGGTGGTCCAAACCATTTTTATCTTGAGCGCGCGAGACTCGGAAATTCTAAAAATCTGCTGATTGAATATTTAGTGATTTTGCTGTTGAATCGAATGGCTTAAGTGCGGAGAGCAAGATATTTAATTATAAATTTAACACACAAAACGTTAATAATGAAAGGGGGGAACCTTTGCAAACAATCTTACTAAGAAAACTGTACATTGATATTATAAATTGAGAAAAGAATGAAAAATATTGGAAAATGTATGCTAAAACTTAGCACTTAATTAGGAATTCTAAACACATGCTGCTTAAAAAATTTTTTGTAATTTTGCTGTTCAATTATATGGCGTAAGTGCAAAGAAAATGATGCGTAATAATAAAGGTAAGACGACAAAAAGAAATGGGTTAGCAAGTGAGTGAGTGGAACAGCAGACTGGTAGACTGCAAATTCAATGAGAATGTAGAAAAACCTTAACAAACCCTTTTGGGCTACTGTTAAAATCTGAGCACTTTTACATTTTTTTCCCAGTCTTTTTTGATAAGATGTCCTTTTACTATGGAATAATAAGATCGCGCCAGTTTTCACCAGGACGGAGTATTACCACAGAGTTTATGCATTTGATGTGTTCTTTTGTTTTCTAACGGCAATCTGAGGCAGGCGGACCCAGTATTTTTGAATTCCGTGAAATACGAATTTATATATAGAATAGTAGGTCTTTTCTAGGGTCATATAAAAACATATATACACTGAAAACATTCTAAATCTTCTTAACACGAAGAAAAGAATCACAAGAATGTTGCTAACATTAATTCCTGTTTTTCTTGCTTACGCGTAGTCCGAGATTATAATCCCTTGTATCTATGAAGTAATCTTAAGTGGGTGTCGTCTTTTGTCAGCATTTTATCGCACGTGAGTGCAAAAAATTTTTAAGTAACAATGAATTGGTTCAAAAATAGCACTGGCATGCCCATTTTTTAAGGCACATTTTCAAGTATGCACCTTTTTGTATAGTTTTCACGTGTGGAAAATTCCAAATTTCTTTCCTGATCATCTTCTTTTCTACTGCTTATTCATCCCCTGCTCCGTTACTCCAGTTTTTCACTTTTTTCTGTATTTAATGATCAAGGTTCTACGAATGTTTATTTTCTGTTTCTCAGAAATCATTTGAAACTGTTGCATTTTTACCAACCTTTTATGCTCTTGATTGATATTTTATACCATGTCTGCTTGTCAAAATCTGAAAAGTGTTTTCGTTAATAGAAAACCATTTGGCGTTTTATACTAAGCGTAGATAAAAGACGCAAATAAAAGAAAATGTTGGGTTCCATTCTTATCAGCAGATTGGAAGGAAAACTTCATTTGATGTCAAGAAATGCCACATGGAGGTAAGAAAGTACTTCCTACCTCCATGAAATGCCACGAAGTGTGGGTGTGTGGGGGAATGGTAATACATGGATGAGCGAAGAATACTATTTTTAATGTGTGCATTTTGTTGGCGTGTTTCCTATCAGGCATTATTGATTTTCTTCAAGGAAATTCCGATATTTTGATTTATTTATTTTTGCCTTTAAGTAGAACGCAATGAATAACTGTAGCCTTCAACTTAAAAAACGTAGCTTGTCATGGTCAATATGTAGGATTTGGTTTAAGCAAATGGAAAGTTTTATAGTACTTGCCATTATAATTTATAGTTCAAGATTGCAGTTGAGAAGAATTATATTTATCGTTTGTTGAGCTTTTACTTTTCCTCTTGAAAAGCTGTGGACGGAATTTTTAAGTTGTCAGCTGTCTTGCATTGGCAGCTAAAAGTTCCATCACGAGATTTTTTAAAGAGAGTAGTGTAAGTTGTATCGTGATTCTCCAGTTACATTTCTTCTTTTGGGTTTCTTAGAATCTTCCTTTCTTTTTCAGAGCAGAAA